AGACCCGTGTGTTGCGTCAGGCATTACTGGTATTTCAAAACCGCACTTGCTTAAATTTTTGATGGTTGGAGATAATCCGGGCATGTTGTACAAGGAGTTTTGCGATGATGACAACTGGTTGCCCAAGGAAGGTCCCATTTATTGGTTCCATCAAAACCCGGATGAGAGCTACGCGGGTCCTTCGTGGCCGTTTAACCCGCCTCCTGTCCAACCCCTTCCTCGAAATGACTATTGCAACAGCAAAAATGGGGTTATTCGATTCCGCGAGTTGTTGGAGAGCAGACGGTCAACGTGGTCCACTTACAACGACCATGAGGTGAGGAGAAGAGAAAGGGCTTTGTGTTACTGGGAGGAGGTTATCAAACATGGGGATGAGATCATCGCCAACGGTTTGCCCTCACAACCTCTGGAAAGTTTCTGGCCAAGACCACGGTTGCTTGAAAGCGATGAACAACCTTCTCCTCGCGGTGTCAACATCGACGAGAGGGAACCCCTGTTTGTTGGACGAAGAAAAGATCGCCCGAAGACTAGTTTCGACCCCCTCGTGCATGTTGACGTCGACACTTTCCTTATCCTCCGCCCCTCCGACGAAGATCTGTCCAGCGGTGTGCCAATCTGGGTGGGCAAAGCTCTTTCTCGGGTGATTGTCGACAAAGATTCGCAAAATTATAATGAAGTGTTGGTGGAATATTGGGTGTCAACTGGGAGAACAAAGTCGCTCGCACAACTGTATGAGAACGCATGGGAAAAGCGATGGAAAATGACTGAGCAGACGCAATGGCAGCATGCTGACTCGATCGCTTTTGGTTGGGAGAGACCGGGCCGAGGTTCAAGACCCTTCACGACTGGACTTGTCATTCCCTCTAATGTTCGACTGAATGCTGAAGCGGCACTTCTAGATCTGAATTCATCTGGTGAAGGGAGTGTAGATGGACGGGACAAGAGCGACGAGTGCACGTCCGCCCGATAGAGTGAGGGAGTGAGATTTTAAGACGGAGGGGACAGGCGAGAAATCAGAAGGGAGCGTATTCTTTTCTTTCTTAGTCAATTACGATGATTTTGCGTGGATAATTTTTTCCACGGTGTACGGTTCCATTCTCTAACTTAAAGATGGTTGGGTGATGGTTCAGCAATTTTCGAAGTTGAGTTCATTGTGAAGATGATTTTCACAACTTAATTTAGAGATGTCGGTAGGTTTGTTAGGATGAAGTACATTTCCGTTTTCTCGACGGAGGCGACAAAGGGACAACCATGAACCCTTGCTTTGGGATCGTCAATGTTTTCATGGGACGAGTGGAAGTTGGCAGCAACTTTAAACTTTGTAAATGATTGCGTTTTAGAAAGTTTAGATTATTTCGGTTCGTAGCGTTTATTTTAGATGCAGCTCAATGACATTGTACAGTTGGCTTGTAGCGTTTAATTCAGACGTACTTCAATCTTGCATATACGATTTCTTGTATCAACTTTTAATTCTGCATGATTACGATGTTTTTTTAAGTGAGACAGAATCCATGCTGCTCACGTGAATTTTAGCTTCATATGATAATATCATATCAGTTTATGACTATTTACCGAAGTGCGTCGGAATCCATACTTAAACCATCTTGTGTACCATGTGATCGCATTGACTCATCGAGTGAATTTCAGTGTTGCTTCACACAATGTGACTGTCACAGTGGTATACGAAATTAATTGAAGCGTGATGAAGATTCTGAGGTCATTCACAACCTTGTTGTTGGTCATTTTCAACCTTGTCGTTGGTCATTCTCAACCTTGTCGTTCAGTGTCTCATTACATCTGTTGTTTGAGTAAATTTCAATGTACTGCGACAATGACATTCAATTTGTCAGTTACGTTTTTCATGTAGGTTAAACATAAATAACCGAAATGCGATGGAAGTCCAAAATTACTGAAGTGCGTTGGAATCCATACTTCTCGTTCACCGTTTAATGACCTCAAAGTTTACTATAATTGAATTGAGTTCCAATTTATGCGAATCACATCAGATTCTGATTTAGATAGTTAAACTTAAAATCTGTCTTTTGAGTAATATGTACATAAATTATCGAAGTGAGAAGGAGTCCATAGTACATAAACCGCCTCGTTTACCGTGTGATTGCCTAAGTTAGGTGTGGATTCCATTGCACTTCCATGATTTTTGTAACTTAAAAGTCGGTAGACCTCTATAAATTATGCTTTAAGTTATAAAAATCATGAAAGTGCAATGGAATCCACACTTACTTCATCATGATCAGTAAGTGATTGCCTTGAATCTCCAGTTCATATCCAATTTATGGTCTGTCCATTGCATTCTTCGGCTTCAGTACTCGAATCCTAAGTTTCATTGAGGGCCAAAATATAGCGATTTTAACATGAAATTAATAGCTTGCGAGTACCAATTTAAAATATAATGTCCTATTTTAACGAATAACATGTTCATTGCCAAAAACATAAAAAGTTGCAAATATATCTGATGGAGAGACTGGACCACATACATTCGAACTTTTGTGCGGCCTAGTAGGCCAAACAACAGAGAGAGAGAGAGAGAGAGAGAGAGAGAGAGAGAGAGAGCAAGCGGGAGCGGCGGCCGAGGCCAGAGAGAGAGAGAGAGAGAGAGAGAGAGAGAGAGAGAGAGAGAGAGAATGAAGAAGGGATTTTTTTTTTGCTTATTGCTAGTAAAGTTTCTTGACACCTCCTTTAGGTTTTAGGGCCTCACCACAACAATGTTGAAACCTTCCTTTTCGACATTATTTCATTGCCACACAGTGTGTTGAATGATATAGGGCCTCGCCACACCAATGTCGAAACTCGAGTTTTCGACATTTTTTCTTCGCCACACAGACTGTCGAAGAAAAACTGTCGAAACATTTTCGACAATGGTCAGAAAGGTGGTTTCGACATGGGTGTCGAACGGCCCGCCTGCAGCGGGTCCAGTTTCGACATCACGGAGACGAGGTGTTGAAGGATGTGCTGATTTCGACATCTATGCCTCAAGATCCCGTGTCTTCTTCTTCTTTTTTTTTTTTTTTTTTTTTTTTTTTTTTTTTTTTTTTTTTTTTTTTTTTTTTTTTTTTTTTTTTTTTTTTTTTTTTTTTTT